GTGAAAAGAAACCCAATCATTATGGTTGGATTCAAAATACCAGGAGGTGTTTAATTGCAACCCCAATAGATGAGCCATGCAATACAGTACGAATAAGAACGAAATCCCACCGAAATGAGATGAGTTGTCAGAATGTCACACAGAATTTTGACACCTGGAATAGTTGGAAGACATTATGGGGACCTAGTGTTTTGGAACACTATAATTACCTTGGGGAAGTACAATGGTGCATCCAATGGTCAGGAGTAAAGAATCAGTCACATTATAGGGCCCTCATCACATCTACATCTTCCCGAGAGTTCAGACCGCAGAAAGAGGATTGGAATTGTACTGAGGTTTTTACATGTGATACACCGGAAGACCGAATTGGATTGGTACCAGTGAAAATGGCATTAAAGTGGGGATGCGAGTGTAGGGGATATGATCATACGGTTAGCAAAGAGTCCATGGAGGGACCTATAGATTGCAGATATACTACTGTGCATAGCCCTGGAAATCTAGTCTGGGTGTTGGGACATGGACAGTGGACCGCACATTTACCTCTAGATGGATCAGTAACACAAATCACCCTAGGGGTTCCCAAATTGTGTCCATACTGGAAACAGAATTGATTGATCCAAAGGAAAGGACTCAGAAAGAGGGAAGAATCCCTAGAGGAGCAGTGGCATGAACCTGGCTCAGGAGTACAATTTGGATGGATATTAGAATCATTATTCCCTCCGGTAGTGACATATCGAAATAGGGAAATGCTCAACAACTTGTTAGGACAGACAGAAAGGTTGGCAGCAGCTACTAAGAAGGGATTTAAAGATCTAAATTTGCAATTGCAAGCTACATCAAGAATGACCCTACAAAACAGAATGGCATTGGATTTGCTACTGTTAAGAGAACATGGAGTTTGTGGTTACCTGAGTAGGAGAATAGATCATTGCTGTGTACACATTCCAAATGTTACACTTGAAGTTGAGAAAGATATTTCTCAACTGGCAGAAGTGGAAACAAAACCCAAGGAAATTGAAAAGGAAGCACAGCATAACTGGATAGGAGCAGTATTTGATTCTTTGGGGCTTCACCTGTCTGGCTGGATTACATCTGCTATACAGTATGCACTAATGTTTTTAGTATTTTTAGTGACTATATGGATTGTATATAGATGCCTCTTAGGAGTGATCGAAAAGGAAAAGAAGCGATCTCTCCGGTTGCTGAAGGCCATGACCCGCGGGCGGCAGAATGAAGAACACTCCCCACCTCGTTATGAAGATGTTACTGTCAATACTGTTGATTGAGCATCCTTGCAGTAGGACTGAAGGATGCTCAAAAGGGGGGAAATGTTGGAAAAGAAATGAAATTGCGCAAAATGTGTAATTATAGTTTAGTTATGAGTTGTGTGTGAATTGGTTTGTTAAAAGCAGTTTTGCAGTTTTGCAGCCGTTGATAGTGTGTGTGTTTGGTTTGTGTGTAACTTAGCAGGTAGTCTTAGGAATTTAGTAAATAATTAAACTAGTGCAGGAGAGTAAGAATGCTAACCTGTCTGAAGGCAGCATACAATGCTCTTAGAATAAGATAAGCAGAAGATTTATGATCTTGCCTGTGAACTAAGGAATGTATCACAAGGGAACTGTTTCTTGGAGACTTTGTTGTGAATCGCATGTATAAGAGGGAAGCACCCATATGTGAAATCGGGGGCTTGGGTTTTTGGGACGTGAGTCCCCCAGCACCCCGGGCCCGTAATAAAGCACCCACAAAACTTATCCGAGTTTTGTGCCATTTATCAATCGGGCAACACCCAGAGCCCTGCGGGACGAAGGGGAGATGGGGATGGGGCGATGCAAAAGTCAGGCAGAGGTGTCCAATTAATTAATGGGTGGATTTGGGCTCATTGTAGGGTTTAAGGAATTTTTCAATACAGGAAACCACTGCCGGACATTTGAGGCAAGAAAAAAGGATTCTGGGGCAAAAGCAGAGAAACTTTGCGGATGGGGGAGTGGCCGTGACCCTGCTGGAGTGCGGGGGGGGACCTCCACCCCCCCGAGGGCTCCCTGTGCCTCCTCTGCCGAGGGTCCAGGTTCAGTTTTGGGAATTTTGGGATGGGCTGGATGCACCGGAGACCCGGGCAGGGGTTTGAGTGGGTCGGAACCATCACCAGCAGTGGTGGCATCACCAGGTACGCGGATTCCGTCAAGGGCTGGTTCACGATCTCCAGGGACAACGGGCAGAGCTCGGTGACGCTGACCATGAACAACCTCAAGGACGAGGATTCCGGATCCTATTTCTGCACCAAGGACACCGATGGTCACGGTGCTTATGCTGATGCTGGTTGGGGAGGATGGAACAGCAAAGCCTTATCAATATGGGTATATTGATAATATCAATAAGTCGGGTAAAAAATTTTGAGAATATGGAGACCATCAGAGAGATTGAAATGAAAGCAAGCTTTGAGATCCCTCAGGGACTGAACAACTGGAAAACAATGGCGTGGCCGGCTGAAGGTGATCCCATTTTGATGGAACAACACCCTCTGCCTGCAGACAGCTCCAAGGGTCAGAGCGACCCTACAGCTTGGCAGAAGGGCCCAAAGAGGAGTTTTTAGGGTTTAAAGTTACTCCAAAAAGGAGTTTTTAGGGTTTAAAGTTCTTCCAAAGAGGAGTTTTTAGGGTTTAAAGTTGCTCCAAGGAGGAGTTTTTAGGGTTTCCAAAGAGCAGGTTTTAGACATGGCAGAAGGGTGCCAAAGAGGAGTTTTTAGGGTTTAAAATGTAATAGAGTACGGTAATGAAATGATTCTTTTAGGGTGTATGGAAATGATGTAGGGTTTGTATATTGTATAAGATTGGTTAGTGAGAATTAGAATATTCTACAGAGAAGAACATTTATTGTATTGTGGTGGGAACCTCACTCTCTTACCCTTTTATTCTCTTAGAGTTTTATGTTCTTACCCTTTTACACTCTTACCTTTTTATTCACTGACTCTTTCACTCTCTTAGCCTTTTTATTCTCTCACCCTTTTACTCATTTACCTTTTTTACTCTCTTACTCTCTTCCCGTCTCATCCTCTCTCCCCTCTCGTCTCTCAGCCCTGCTCCAGCTGTGCCTGGCAGCTCCCAGCAGGGCCCTGCAGTTTGTCCTTTGCAATAAACCCCAAATGCCACAACCTGGCTGCAGAGATCTCTCGTGTCCATCCGTCTGTCCTGACCGTCCTACGCCCGGATGCTCCTGCAGTGCTGGTTGGGGAATGGGGCCAAGCCCGGCACGTCAATAGAAGCAACACCATAAGTACCATCAGGAGTATAAGCATATTTGGCACAGAAATAGTATCCGGAATCCTCGTCCTTGAGGTTGTTCATGGTCAGTGTCATCAAACTCTGCCCGTTGTCCTTGGAGATCGTGAACCGGCCCTTGACCGAATCCGCGTAGCTTGTGCTGCCAGTGGTGCTGATATCTGCAATGAACTCCAGCGCCTGCCCGGGTCTCTGGCGGATCCAGGCCATCACAATAATCCCAAAATCGATCCCGGGCGCTCAGCAGAGGAGGTGCAGGGATCCCCCGGGGGGCTGGAGGTCCCCCCCACACTCCAGCAGGGTCACGGCCGCCTGGAGCCCTGTGGGACAAAGGGGAGATGGGGGTGAGTGGATGCAAAAGTCAGGTGGAGGTGTCCAATTAATTAATGGGTGAACTGGGGCTAATTGCACGGTTTAAGGCACTTTACCATTCTGGAAAACTCTGTTGGAGATTTGGGGACAAACAAAGGGAATTGGGGGCAAAACCAGTGAAGGTTTGGGCATCAGAGAGCGGCCGTGACCCTGCTGGAGTGCGGGGGGAACCCCCAGTCCCCCGGGGGTTCCCTGCGCCTCCTCTGCCGAGGATCCGGGTTCAGTTTCGGCAGTTTCAGAATGTTCTGGATCTGCCAGAGACCCGGGCAGGGGTTGGAATACGTCGCAGCGATCAAGAACGATGGATCCAGCTACGCCTACGCATCATCAGTGCAGGGCCGGTTCACGATCTCCAGGGACAATGGGCAGAGCTCGGTGACGCTGACCATGAACAGCCTCAAGGCCAAGGATTCCGGATCCTATTTCTGCGGTTAAGCTGCCTCTGATACTTGGGGTGCTGCTGCTGATGGTATTGACCCCATCCCCATAGCCGTGTCCCCACCTGTCCAGGTTCCCCAGACCCTTCTCCCAAACTCTGCCCCTGACCCCATTTCTGACCCCATCTCCCAATCCTGCCCTGGCTCTGCCCCAAATTCTCCACTCTTGGCCACAAAATTGACCGAAATCTTAACCCTTGACCAGAAGTATCCACTTTCAGAATCAAGTTTTTGGGCAGAAAGAGGAGATTTGGGGTCAGGAGTTAAGGTTTAGGGTCAGCGGGTGAAAACTGGGGCCGAGGCAGAGCAAGGTTGGGATCAATGGTCAAGGGCTGGGTGTGGGCTGGAGGTTTGGGTGAAGGGTCTGGAGAACGGGGACAGGGGGGGACACGGGGATGGGGACACAACCATCATGGGGACACAAACTCAATTAGCAGCAGGACCACCAACACCTATACCAGAAGATTTCTCGCAAAAATAAACGGCGGAATCCTCATCCCTGAGGTTGTTCATGGTCAGAGTCACCGAGGTCTGCCCGTTGTCCCTGGAGATCCTGAACCGGCCCTTGAAGGATGGATTACAGTAGGTGTTCCCACTGCTGGCGATCACCGAGAGCCCCTCCAGAGTCTGCCCGGGTCTTTGGCGCATCCACATCATCCCAAAACTGCCGAAACTGAACCCAGACCCTCGGCAGAGGAGGCGCAGGGACCCCCCGGGGGGCTGGAGGTCCCCACCGCACTCCAGCAGGGTCACGGCTGCCCGGAGCCCTGCGGGACAAAGGGGAGATGGGGATGGGAAACCTGATTGGTCCAGGGCCTCAGAGTTGGCTTAGCCATTTGGAAAAAAGGGACAGGACCCACCTGGGAGGAGGAGGGTGATGAATGGCAAGGGTCCAAATTTGGGGCCAATAGTTGGGATGTTGGGGTCAAGGGTTGAGCTTTGGCCTCATCCCCATCTCCCCTTTGTCCCACAGTGCTCCAGGCAGCCGTGACCCTGCTGGAGTGCGGGGGGGACCTCCAGCCCCCCGGGGGGTCCTTGCGCCTCCTCTGCCGAGGGTCCGGGTTCGATTTTGGGAAATTTGCAATGGGCTGGATCCGTCAGAGACCCGGGCAGGGGCTGAAATTCATCGCCAGCATCAACAGTGATGGTGGCAGCACCAGGTACGTGGATTCAGTCCAGGGCCGGTTCAGGATCGCCAGGGAGAACGGGCAGAGCTCGGTGGCGCTGATCATGAACAACCTCAAGGACGAGGATTCCGGATCCTATTTCTGTGCCAAATCTTCTGGTGTTAGCACTGCTCTTGCTGCTTTTGTTGGTGTTTGGGTTGGTGTTTGGGGTCCTGGCCTCGTCCCTGTCCCCAGCTGTCCCCAGACCCTTCCCCAAACCCCCCTGTCCCACCCCTGACCCTTTGTCCCAGCCCCGCACCCTTTGCCCCAACGCTGCCCATTGGCCCCAAACCCTGCCCTGGGTCTGCCTCCAAACTCAACTCTCGGCCCCAAATCTCCCACTTGTGCCCCAAAATTGCTCCAAAGGGCCGACATTTGGGCACAGCGGGTGAGGTTTGGGTCAGCGGTTGTGGCTGGGAGCCCAGAGTAGGGATTGGGGGCAGAATCAGGCGAGTTTTGGGGCCAAAGCTGGTGGGTTTGGGGCAGAACTAGTTTGGGGGTTTGGAGTCTTTAGTCTCTATTGGTGGAAATGGGGGAGATCTCGGCAAAGGGGTCAAGAATGAGGTCAAGGGCTGAGATTTGGGTAAAGGTTCTGAGATTTGGGGATAAGAGGGGCTCAGGCACGGGCGCTGCCACCACCGGCATGGTCAATGTAAGCAGCAGCAGCCCAAGCAGCACCAGCAGCTTTGGCACAGAAATAGGATCCGGAATCCTCGTCCTTGAGGTTGTTCATGGTAAGAGTCACCGAGCTCTGTCCGTTGTCCCTGGAGATCCTGAACTGGCCCTTGACCGAATCTGCACAGTTGGCGCTGCCACTGCTGTAGACCCCTGCGAGCCACTCCAGCCCCTGCCCGGGTCTCTGGCGGACCCAGTGCATGGAGACACTGCCAAAACTGAACCCGGACCCTCGGCAGAGGAGGCGCAGGGACCCCCCGGGGGGCTGGAGGTCCCCCCCGCACTCCAGCAGGGTCACGGCCGCCCGGAGCCCTGCAGGGCAAAGGGGAGTTTGGGATGAGGCCAAAGCTCAACCCTTGACCCAAACCCTGAACCTTGGCCCCAAATTTGGAGCCTGGGAGTTCATCATCCTCCTGTCAGGGCGGTCCCGCCCCTTTTTACAGCAAGCCACACCTACTTTGACCCCACAGCCAATCAGGTTTCTCATCCTCATCTCTCCTCTTTGTCCCGTAGGGCTCCGGGCGGCCGTGACCCTGCTGGAGTGTGGGGGGGACCTCCAGCCCCCTGGGGGGTCCCTGACGTTGCTGTGCCGCGCATCTGGGTTTGATTTTGGCAGTTTTGGGATGGGCTGGATGCGCCAGAGACCCGGGCAGACACTGGAATACATCGCCAGTATCAGCAACAGTGGTGGCAGCACTGACTACGCGCCATCGGTCAAGGGCCGGTTCACGATCTCCAGGGAGAACAGGCAGAGCTCGGTGACGCTGACCATGAACAATCTCAAGGTCGAGGACTCCGGATCCTATTTCTGTGCCAAATGTGCTACTAGTGGTTATGGTGGTGGTGTTGCTGCTTTTAGTGACAATTCCAGCAGTGGCCCCAGCCCTATGACGGTCACTAGATGTCTCCACTCCCAGTCATCCTTCCTCCAGAGCCCAGCTTTTCTCCCAAGTGTTAAAGAGTTTCCCCCAAACTCCGCCCCTGCTGCCTACACTCTACACTTTAACTCAATTTTGCCAATTTCACCCAAATCTCCCCTAGCTCCCTAGGCCCTGATTGGAGGAGGCCTGAACTGGAGCCCAGGGGTGAAGATTTGGGGCCAGTGGTTGAGTTTTGGGGCAGGAGCAGGGGAGGGTTTGGGGTCTGTGGACACTGATGTTGCAAATGGAGTGAAAAGGTCAAGGAGTGCGTCAAGAAGAGAGGTTTGGGATGAAAATCAGAGCTTTAGGGACAAAATGAAGGGAGTGGGGCAAAAAGCATGGCCTGGAGGCAATCACCAATATTGTCACCATTGTTACCAGCAGCCCAGCAACCACTACAATAAGGTATGGCACAGAAATAGGATCCGGAATCCTCGTCCTTGAGGTTGTTCATGGTCAGCGTCACTGAGCTCTGCCCGTTGTCCCTGGAGATCCTGAACTGGCCCTTGACTGAATCCGCATAGCCGGTGTTGCCACCAGTGTTGGTGATCCCTGCGACGAATTCCAGTCCCTGCCCGGGTCGTTGACGCATCCAGCCCATCCCAAATTGTCCAAAATCGAACCCGGCTCCTCGGCAGAGGAGTCGCAGGGACCCCCCGGGGGGCTGGAGGTCCCCCCCACTCTCCAGCAGGGTCACGGCCGCCCGGAGCCCTGCGGGACAAAGGGGAGAGTGGGATGGGAAACCTGATTGGTTCAGGGCCGCAAACTGGGAGGGTCAAGGTTGATAAAGTATCGAGACCCACCTGGGATAAGGATGATGAACTCCATGGGTCCCAATTTGGGGCCAAGAGTCAGGATTTGGGTCAAGGGTTGAGCTTTGGCCCCATCCCCATCTCCCCTTTGTCCCGCAGAGCTCCGGGTGGCTGTGACCCTGCTGGAGTGCGGGGGGGACCTCCAGCCCCCCAGGGGGCCCCTGCGCCTCCTCTGCCGAGGGTCCGGGTTCAGTTTTCGGGAGCTACGACATGTTCTGGGTCCGCCAGAGACCCGGGCAGGGGCTGGAATTCGTCGCGTGGATCTGCAGCAGTGGTGCTTACACCAACTACGCGCCGTCGGTGCAGGGTCGGATCACGATCTCCAGGGACAACGGGCAGACCTCGGTGACGCTGACCATGAACAACCTCAAGGACGAGGATACCGGATCCTATTTCTGTGTCAAACGTTACACCAGTGGTTGCGGTAATGCTGCTATGCTTATGGTGTTTATGGTTGTTTTGGTCCCAAGCCCTCTCCTCTCTCTTCCCAAGCATCACAGAATTCTCTGATCCTTCCCCAAAATCCTGGCTCTTTTTCTAACATCTCAGATATTTTCCCCCAAACTCCACCATCACTTCCCCAATTCCCAATTTCCTCTAATTTTCCCCATTCCTCCCCAGTCTGGCCCTTCCCCTCCGTCCCAGTGCAGAATGGGGATCACTCCGGGGCCCTTTGCACACAACGCTTTTTGTGCAGCCGGCGCTCTGCCGCAGCGCCCCGAGGCTGAGTTTCCCTTTGCCAAACACAGATGTTCACAGTGACCAAAACCAGGAACTTTCTGTTTTCTTTCCTGCCCCGGCCGGGCCCTGGCAGCTGCCGGGGAGGAAGTGGGGGGAGGCTGCGGAGCCCCAAAATCGCGGCGTCTTCTCCTCCCTCCCTCCCTTTGTCCCACCTGGGGCTTCACTGCTCCCTCAGCGGCCTCGGTGTCTGGGGCTGCTCCTTGGGGCTGGGCTGGAATCCTCTCTGGGAGCTATGGAGAAAAAAACATTTTTTTAGCCAAAAACACATGAAAAAATTGGGGAAATTGAATTTTTCCACAAATTTTCACATTGATCCCCAGCCAAGGGCTCCATGCTGAGAGAAGCAGATGGGTGCAAGGGTGTAGTCACCTGGAATGTTCCATTGGTCAAGGGCAGGGTCAGCACGGTCAGGGACAGTCCAGGAGCCAAAATGGCCCTGAATGGGCCCCGAGCTGAGGTGTGGGGCCAGGAGCTGAGAATGTGGGGCAGGGCCAGGGCAGGGTTGGGGCACGGGGACAGTAATGGGGTCAGGGGCTGGGGATTGGGGGAAGGGGCTGGGGAACGGGGACAGGGGGGACACAGCGATAAGGGTGGGGTCAAAACCATCAGCAGCACCATTACCCCAACCAGCAGCAGCAGCTTTGGCAAAGAAATAGCATCCGGAATCCTCGTCCTTGAGGTTGTTCATGGTCAGCAGCACCGAGCTCTGCCCATTGTCCCTGGAGATCCTGAACCGGCCCTTGACCGATGGCGCGTAGCCGGTGGCTCCCCCAGTGTTGATCCCCGCGAGCCATTCCAGCCACTGCCCGGGACTCTGACGGATTCATGACATGTCAAAATTCCCGAAACTGAACCCGGACCCTCGGCAGAGGAGGCGCAGGGACCCCCCGGGAGGGTTGGAGGTCCCCCCCGCACTCCAGCAGGGTCACGGCCGCCCGTAGCCCTGCGGGACAAAGGGGAGATGGGGATGAAGGAAAAAATCCACCCAAATCCTAATTCCTGCATCCAGATCCTGATGTTGGCCACACACTGTGTAACTTTGTTCTCCTCCCCATCCTGCTGGCCCTCCCAGGTGGGTTGACGTCCCTTTTGGCAGCTGGTCACCTCCAGCCCAGCCCACACCCGCATCCGGGGCCTGATCTCCATCTCCCCTGGAGATGAGACCCGGGCAGGGGCTGGAGTGGCTCGCAGGATCAACACTGGTGGCAGCACCGGCTACGTGCCATCGGTCAAGGGCCGGGTCACGATCTCCAGGGACAACGGGCAGAGCTCGGTGACGCTGACCATGAACAACGTCAAGGACGAGGATTCTGCCACCTATTTCTGTGCCAAATCTGGTTATGCTGGTGCTTGGGGTCCTGGTGCTTATGGTGAAGACCCCAGTGGTGGATCCACGCACCCATCTCAGCGTCCCCAACTGTCCCCAAACCCCCAACATTTCCCCCAATCCTCAGTCCTGGGCCCATCCCCGCTTGGGGGTCTCTGTCCAAATCCCCACCGGGAAGGGGCTGTGGGGATCCCTCTGGAGCCGTTTGGTTTCCCACCATCGCTCTCCTCACTGAGCCGTGGCCATGGGGAGGTGCCGGCGACTCACGGCCCCGGCAGCACACACAGAACTCAATGGCGCCGCTCACCGCGAGAGGTTTGTGGCCAATCACACAAAGCAAAGGCAGATTGACACGGTGGGGCTGGATCTGGGACGTCCTCGTCAGTTTTGGGGAATTTGGTTTGGACGTGGAGCCCAGAGCTGAGGTTTGGGGCCAAGAGCTGAGATTGGGGCAGAGCCAGTTCAGAGCTGGGACACGGCGACAGGAATGGGGTCAGGGGCTGGGGACTGGGGGAAGGGTCTGGGGAACGGGGACAGGGGGGAAACAGCCATGGGGATGAGGTCAAAACGACAGGCGCCATTAGCAGCAGCATTATTATAATAACCCTTGGCACAGAAATAGGATCTGGAATCCACGACCTTGAGGTTGTTCACGGTCAGTGTCACCGAGCTCTGCCCGTTGTCCCTGGAGATCCTGAACCAGCTCTTGACCGACGATGCATAGAAGGTCCTGCCACCACTGCTGATCCCCGCGAGCCACTCCAGCCCCTGCCCGGGTCTCTGACGGACCCAGCTCATGGACTGACCCTCAAAATTGAACCCAGATGCGCGGCACAGCAACGTCAGGGACCCCCCTGGGGGCTGGAGGTCCCCCCGCACTCCAGCAGGGTCACGGCCACCCGGAGCCCTGCGGGACACAGCGGAGATGATTAAAAATGAGAAATGTGATTGCTCCAGAAGGGGAAAAGGTGCGTGTGCTCCAGGAAAAAGGGGCGGAGCCCACCTGGGAGAGCCAGCAGGATCAGCAGGACCTGGAGCCAGGGGGAGCTCAGGGCCAAGCCCGGGATGTGCCGGGGTTGGGGTCCCGGAGGGGTTTGGGGGTTTTTGACGTGGTATTGCGTTTGAAATCAATGTGGAACACTCAGGAAAAGGTGTCCAATTAATTAATGAGAATATTGAGTTAACTTGCAGATTTTGAGGAATGTCAGGATACCTGAAAAAATCTGGTGGAGATTTGGGACCAAACCAGTGAAGTTATGAGTGAAATTGGTGAAGATTTGGGGATGGGGGAGCAGCCGTGACCCTGCTGGAGTGCGGGGGGGACCTCCAGCCCCCCGGGGGGTCCCTGTGCCTCCTCTGCCGGGGATCCGGGTTCAGTTTCGGCAGTTTTTCCATGCAATGGGTCCGACAGCGACCCGGGCAGGGGCTGGAATCGGTCGCGGGGATCAGGAACGATGGTGCTGACACTGGCTATGCGCCATCGGTCAGGGGCCGGATGAGGATCTCCAGGGACAACGGGCAGAGCTCGGTGACGCTGACCATGAACAACCTCAAGGACGAGGATTCCGGATCCTATTTCTGTGCCAAATGTGCTGCTGCTGGCAATTGGGGCGATGCTGCTGCTTATGCTGAAGACACGAGTTGTGGATGCACCCCCGTCCCCATGTCCCCCCCATTTCAGGTCCCCAGACCCTTCCCTCAAACCTTACCCATTGACTCAGATCTTGACCCTTTGTCCCCAATCTCCCCCATTTGCCCAATGGTCAGCACTGACCCCAAACCCTCCCCTGCTCCTGCCCCAAAACTCAACCATTGGCCCCAAACCTTCACCCCTGGCCTCCAGTTCAGACCTCCTCCAATCAGGGCCCCGGGAGCTGGGGGAGATTTGGGTGAAATGGGCAAAACTGGGGAGACAATCGAGACTAGGGGAAGGATGGGGCAAAGTTTGGGGGAAAATGGTGAAGATTTGACACAAAGGACTGGGATGCCGGGGAAGGATCTCTGGGCATTGGAGACATTTTTTGACCAACATGGGGGTGGTCCGCTAACAGAATTGTCACCAATAAGAGCAGGACCAGAAATACTATAATCATTATTGCTACGTTTGGCACAGAAATAAACGGCGGAATCCTCGTCCTTGAGGTTGTTCATGGTCAGCATCACCGAGCTCTGCCCGTTGTCCCTGGAGATCCTGAACCGACCATTGATTGATGGCGCGCGGTGGGTGGTGCCAACACCATTGATACTTGCGAGGTATTCCAGTGTCTTCCCAGATTTCTGGCGAATCCAGAACATTCCATAATTCCCAAAATCGAACCCGGACTCTCTGCAGAGGAGGCGCAGGGACCCCCCGGGGGGCTGGAGGTGCCCCCCGCACTCCAGCAGGGTCACGGCCACCCGGAGCCCTGCGGGACAAAGGGGAGATGGGGATGAGGAACCTGATTGGTCGAGGGCCTCAAACCAGGCGTGGCCATATAGAAAATGGTGTGGGACCCACCTCGGAGGGCCAGCAGGGGCAGGAGCACACACCTGCTCCTCCCAACCGGTTCGGGAGGAATTCCTCGGAAATGAGTAGTAAGAACCTGTTTATTTTACAGGCACAGCACCCCCCAGCACAGAAAATAAACAACAACAGATGACGCCACTCCTTCATTGCTCTGAAAAAGATGACAAGTTCAGAAAGTCTCTCTCAGGGGTGGTCGCTCTGTTATCAGTCTCTCCGGTGCTGGGGCAGCTGCTGCAGCCACAAGGTGCAAACTCTCGGTGTTTCCCAGGTCCCAGTCCAGAGCAGGTCCAAAAAAGGGAAAGGAGAAAGAATCCAGGGAAAATTCTGTTTGCCAAGTTGAACTAACTAAAGAGCAGGAGCAAAAAGCAAGAGCAAAATGTTCCCTGCGTACTGCCCCGTCTCTGTGTGCCACCAACTGCTGGGGGAGTGAGCAGGCTGATAATGAAACAAAACAAAACAAGAAAAACCAAACCAAACCAGAACAAAACAAAAAACAGAACATTCTCTCTTAAAGGCAGTCTTAAGGGCGCGGATCATAACATCCAGCATAAAAAGAAAAATTACAGGGGATGCAAGCATCCTAATGACACCCGGGGGCAACACAGAGTCAAGAACAGGATCAAAGGCCAAGCTTTGGGGCAAAACTCGAGAGTTTGGGGACACAATGATGAGTGCGGATCAAATACCAGAGCTGCAGGCCATGGCCAGTACCGTCACTATAAGCACCACTAGGCTAACAACTGGTACAAGAAGATTTGATGCAGAAATAGGATCCAGAATCCTCGTCCTTGAGGCTGTTCATGGTCAGCATCACCGAGCTCTGCCCGTTGTCCCTGGAGATCGTGACCCAGCCCCTGAACGATGGCGCGTAGTAAATGTTGGAACCATTGCTCCTGATAGCCGCGACCCATTCCAGCCCCTGCCCGGGTCTCTGGCGGACCCATTGCAAGGCAAAACTGCCGAAACTGAACCCGGACCCTCGGCAGAGGAGGCACAGGGACCCCTCGGGGGGCTGGAGGTCCCCCCCGCACTCCAGCAGGGTCACGGCCGCCCAGAGCCCTGAGGGACAATGGGGAGATGGGGATGGGAAACCTGATTGGTCCAGAAGGGGAAAAGGGGCGTGACTTCTGAGGAAAAAGGGGCGGGACCACCTGGGAGGGGCAGCAGGGGCAGCAGGGCCAGGAGCCAGAGGGAGCTCAGGGCCAAGCCCGGGATGTGCCGGGGTTGGGGTCTTGCGGATTTTGGGGGTCATGAGCTTTTAATTGTGCAATCAGTGGAGAAGGATCAGAAGGAGGTTTCCAATTAATTAAGGAATGGGTTGGGGTTAATTGCACGATTTGATGCAAGTTATGATGCAGAAAATCTCTGGTAGAGATTGGGGACCAAACAACCAGAGTTTGACACAAAACAGCGAAGGTTTGGGGATGGGCCCCGGGCAGCCGTGACCCTGCTGGAGTGCGGGGGGGACTTCCAGCCCCCCGGGGGGTCCCTGCGCCTCCTCTGCCGAGGGGCCGGGTTCAGTTTTTGGAGTTTTGGGATGGGCTGGTATAGACAGAGACCCGGGCAGGGGCTGGAAGCAGTCGCAAGAATCAGCAGCAGTGGCAGCGCCTACTATGCAGATTCGGTCAAGGGTCGGTTCACGATCTCCAGGGACAACGGGCAGAGCTCGGTGATGCTGACCATGAACAACCTCAAGGACGAGGATTCCGGATCCTATTACTGTGCCAAACGTGCTTATGCTGATAATTGGAGTCCTGGTGCTTCTGCTCAAGACGCCCATGTTGGATGCCTCCCCATCTCAGTGTCCCCTCCTGTCCCCAATCCCCAGACCCTTCCCCCAAATCTCAGCCCTTGACCGCATTCTTGAGCCTTTGTCCCAGATCTCCCCCATTTCCACCACCACCAACCAGGAAGCAAAAACCCCCAAACTGGTTGTGCCCAAAACCCAACTAAGCTGGCAACAAAACTCGCCCGATTCTTCCCGAAATCCCCACTTTGGGCTCCCTGCAGCAGCAGCCGCTGACACAAATCCTCAACCTTTGTCCCCAAATCGGGACCCTGGGCCAAAAACCTCGACCTGCAGAGCAAAGTTTTGAGGCAGAAAGAGGAGATTTGGGGTCAGGAGTTGTGGTTTGGGGTCAGAAGGTGAGAATTGGGGCCGAGGCAGAGCAAGGTTGGGATCAATGGTCAAGGGCTGGGGGTGGGCTGGGGGTTTGGGAGAAGGGTCTGGGCAACGGGGACAGGGCGGGGACCCAGCCATGGGGATGGGGTCAAAATGTTCAGCACCAGCAGAACCATCATTGCAACCACCATCAACACATTTGGCACAGAAATAGGATCCAGAGTCCTTGTCCTTGAGGTTGTTCATGGTCAGCGTCACCGAGCTCTGCCCGTTGTCCCTGGAGATCCTGAAATGGCCCTGGACTGATGAGGCGTACATGGTGCCCCCATCGCTCCAGATCGCTGCCACCCACTCCAACCCCTGCCTGGGTCTCTGGCAGATCCAGAACATGGTGAAACTGCCGTCATCGAACCCGGACCCTCGGCAGAGGAGGCGCAGGGAACCCCCGGGGGGCTGGAGGTCCCCCCCGCAGTCCAGCAGGGTCACGGTTGCCCGGAGCCCTGCGGGACAAAGGGGAGATAGAGATGAGGCCAAAGCCCAACCCTTGACGCAAATCCTGACTCTTGGCCCAAATTGGGACCCTTGGAGTTCATCACCCTCCTCCCAGGTGGGTCCCATCCTGTTTTATTACAGGCCATGCCCTCTTTGAGACCCTGGACCAATCAGGTTTCCCATCCCCATCTCCCCTTTGTCCCGCAGCGCTCCGGGCAGCCGTGACTCTGCTGGAGTGCGGGGGGGACCTCCAGCCCCCCCGGGGCGTCCCTGCGCCTCCTCTGCCGAGGGTCCGGGTTCAATTTTGGCAGTTTCACCATGTACTGGGTCAACCAGATACCCGGGCAGGGGCTGGAGTGGGTGGCAGGGATCTACAACACTGGTGCTTACACCTACTACGCGCCATCGATCAAGGGCCGGGTCACAATCTCCAGGGACATCGGGCAGAGCTCGGTGACGCTGACCATGAGCAACCTCAAGGACGAGGATTCCGGATCCTATTTCTGTGCCAAATGTTATGCCAGTAGTTGTGCTGATGCTAGTGCTGGTTATGGTGTTGATGGTGGTTGTGGTCCCAAGCCCTCTCCCCTCTGTTCCCAAATAACTCAGAATTCTCTAATCTGTCCCCAAAATCCCCATCCCTGTTTCTCAAATCTTGACAATTTCCCCCCAAACTCCACCGTCACTTCCCCAGTTCACAGTTTCCCCTCATTTTCCCCATTCCTCTCTAGTCTGGCCCTTCCCCTCCGTCCCAGTGTGGAACGGGGATCGCTCTGGGGCCCTTTGCACACAAAGCTTTTTGTGCAGCCGGCGCTCTGCCGCAGCGCCCCGAGGCTGAGCTGCCCTCTGCCAAACACAGATGTTCACAATGACCAAACCCAGGAACTTTCTGTTTCCTTTCCTGCCCCGGCGGGGCCCCGGCAGCTGCCACGGAGGAAGTGGGGGGAGGCTGCAGAGCCCCAAAATCGCGGCGTCTGCTCCTCTCTCCCTCCCTCGCTCCCACCTGGGGCTTCACTTCTCCCTCAGCGGCCGAGGTGTCGGGGCCTGCTCCGTGGGGCTGGGCTGGAATCCTCTCAGGGAGCTGTGGAGAATAAACCCACATTTTTACCCAAAACCACCTGAAATTTTGGGGAGATGAAACTGTTTAAATTGATCTCGAGCCAAGGGCTCCATGCTGAGAGAAGCAGATGGGACCATGGGTGGATTCACCAGGAACATTCCATCGGTCAAGGGCAGGGTCAGCACGGTCAGGGACAGCCCAGGAGCCAAAATGGCCCCGAATGGGCCCTGTCAGAGGAAGGAGACCCAGACACCAATTGGTTCATACAAGTCCAATTTATTGATCAATATGGCGGGTTAAATACAGTTCTTAATAAGCTTCATACATATTGCAAAAGTTGAGCTCAGGATTGGTTAGTTACATCTCAGCAACTACACCTACTTCTACATTCTTGTGCTTATTCTTCTGTTACATTCTGCAGATATTCAGGACTAATCTCGCCTCCCTTTCCTCATGTTGCAGCAAGGTCATCCGGCATTCTTGCCTGTCAGCAGTCACTGAATCAGAGACTGCTGACCTCCCATTCAAGCTTAACCAGCGGCATTATGTCAGGATGGCCTTTCTCAGCTAACCAACTCTTAATAAAATCCTCCACATTTCCCCCATTTTCTTCTTGAGCAAGAAGACTAGTCTCCATTTTTGCTATCATACGGCTAACCATGTTTTGAATACAAGTAAAGATACGAGGCAAAATAAGCAAAAACATTAAGATCACACCCAGTAAGCCGATAGCATATGTCACAATGTTCCTTAGCCATGGTCCAAGCCCTAGGTTTTTAAGTCATTCGTCAATTCCTAAACCTTCTTCTTCTTTGAGATGGTGAAGTCCCTGTTGCAGTTCTTTTATCTTGGTATGAATGGACACCGAATGATCAGACAAATTCATGCAACACATTCCCTCAAACTCTTCACATCCATGCTCTTGTGCTAAGAGCAAAAAATCTACAGCAGCTCTATTTTGTAAAACAGCATAGTTAACGCTTTGCACATCTGCAGTTAACATGTCTAGAATTTGGGATGTTTTGTTTAGCTCATTTTTTGCCCAGCACCCTAATTGCTTTGCTAAATTCATAGCCTTATTGGCAGATCCTCCTGGCAAGACAGTTGAAACTACTACTTGCCTGAATGTACCCCAAAACAGTGGATCTCTTATCTGGCTGCAATCCAAATCATGTATACTACACTTTTTCCTGTTTGATGTTTGACTGAGCTGCATTAGCAAGGACACATTAGGGTGAAACAAGGACAATTTTCCCAAATAACAGGGTCCACCCTGTGGCTTAGCTGGTACACCATTCCACGCCCTGTCTCCACAAATTAAAAATATTCCTATAGGTAATTTCATTGGTGCCGTGATGTTTGTGCCGTTACATTGACTGTAATGCTGTGGAGAGAATTCACTCAAATTCAGGGATGAATCTAAGGTGGCCCATGTGTCTTTAGGTTGATTTAAATTCTGGGCATCCAAGGGTTTGAAACTAAACCATCCGCCAGCTGTGGTGTTAGACATACTGGCATTTGCACTTCCAAAAAGATCTAATTCTTCAGGAGGAGAATGCAAGGAAGTGTTAAGTGATTGGATTAGTAAACATTGGCGATAGCCATCACTCTGACCTGCAGTATATCCTTGCTGTGGTGGCAATGTGATGTTTGACATGTTATGCATGCATAAGGTTCGATTACTTATTAAACTGCAAAATTCTCCAGGAGACCACACTGGAAGTCCTACCAAGCATGTTCGAAATGGATTAGTAACCCCTCCAAGACTAAGACAAAGTGATGATTGGTTAATTTGATTAGCAAGTGTTACCCATAGATTTTCTCTTGGCTGACTGAAATGTGTTATTCCTACAGCTTTAATCGCTACAGCGTTAAGCAGTATAATAAAAACAAACTTCATTTTTCTTTCCTTTTTGCCTGTTTTTTCTTCCTCCGCTGTCTTTTACCTGATTTGTTAGGCTGATTAAAATGGACCTGAGTCAGTCTTTGAATACACTGATCTAACTCCAAATCAGCATCCTTGCTCACAGGTATAGCATATGGCAAGTTTAAAGGCAAATCAGCTTTACAGCGAGCTGCTATAATGCGTGAGGCACTAGTAACTTCAAGCTCTCTAAGTGCTTGCTGCAACTTCTATCTAATATATGCTATAACCACTTATTCTGCACTCTCAAAAAGCTCCAATCCTGCCCGTCCTGGCAGGCCAGTACTTTGTTCAAGAGCTCTAACCCAGACAAAATCTTGAATCCACTTCCCGAAACAAGGTCCACACCATAAATTTGCTATTGTCTTTTGTGAGTACCAATAAATCTTATTACAACTTGCACAAAGCAAAGCTATCCATGCATAGCACTTATCAGCATCCCTTTTGCAAACATAACAAGGAACTGTATATAGGAAAGGATCAGTATTAAAATTTATCTGTGTGATCCAATCCAACCAGTTCAATGGTGGTGATTGCAAAACCTCTTCAGCTTTCTTACTATATACAGCTACCAATTCAAGCTCCTTCTTTAATACAAAATGTATCTTATCTCATAATCGCTGTTCTTGTTCTTCAACACCTATAGCATGCTACGAAGCAGGGTCCCATGGAGCTACAGCATCCAACAAGGCAGGGTCTCATAGAAGTGAAATTGCCCTAATCATAGAAAACTAATTAGCAATCACTAATAGCCTTATTTAGATGAGGTTGTTCCCCATCTTACCTTCTGTTTCTTATCTGTTTTCAGTTTTGCTGCTCCTAACTTTACTGGTACTGTTACTTGCAAACTTAATTTTTGTAATTTTTCAATGCAATGATGCAATGCTCTTTCTGGATTCCCCCTGAAGGACCCTACAATCGAACGTTGTGTTAAAGGTACTAATTTTCTACACCTTACAGAGACTATACGTGATTTACTTTGAACCTCAATTCTATTTACAACACATTGTACTTCCCATCGATAATAAGCAAGAATTTTCTGTTCAGGAGACTCATAAAGATTTAAAGCTATATATGCATTTTGCCCTGTTTGTCTCCTTAATTCATCTTGCCAGCTTTTACCCCACGTGTGCTCGTGCTCACAAGTGTGAAACCATAAATCCCATAATAATGATTGTTCTATCCAAAAAGTTCTATCACAACCCCCACAACGTAGGGCTATCCAGGCAGCACAATGTGGATCGTGACAGTCAAGACAATGTTTCTTTGCTGGATTTGTTAAACGAAAAGTTGATAATGAGTCAATAAAACCAATCAGCTCCTGGGCCGTCCGATAGTGACGTGTCAGTGCTTTGTCCAACGCTTTCAAGTGTCCCTTCAACTGTAACAGTAGGGGTCGTAGGACTAGAAGCAGTTTCTTCCCCAGTCACTCCCTGTCCTCTTCCGTGAGGTGGTCCACCAGAGGCTGTATCAAAAACAGGTTTAGTCCACTTAGCAGGCACCCACAAAGGCCCTGTAGGTGAGGAAACACAAAGATATCCCCGACCCCAGTATATTACTTTTGCAGGTTTTTCCCACAATCCTGTAGTCGGGTTTTAATTTCCTGACCTGACCTCGGATGATGTTTAATTGCAGGAGGGATATCGTCTTCCCCAAAAATACATAAATGATTGATCACATACAGAACCTTAGCTAAACATGATTGTGGGTACTTTATATCTTGATGCTTTTCAATATACTCCTTAAGGGTACCATTTGCTCTTTCCACTATTGCCTATCCAGTAGGAGAGTGTGGAATACCTGTCACATGCTTAACAGACCACTGATTCAAAAATTTCTGGACCCTAGCACTTACATAAGCTCAACCATTGTCCGTTTTGATACTCTTTGGAACTCCCATGACAGCGAAACAACTTAACAGATGCCTAATAACATGTGTAGCTTTTTCTCCTGCCTGAGCCGTAGCCCATATGTAATGACTATATGTATCTATAGTGACATGCACACACTTAACTTTACCAAATCTAGCGATATGTGTAACATCCATTTGCCATTTCTCATTTATTTCTAAACCTCGAGGATTAACTCCAATGCCTAAACCTATTCCACCATTATGATAACTACATGTTGGACATGCTCTAACAATAGCCTTAGCTTCTGATAGACTCAGCTCAAAGTGCTTTGCTAATCCCTTTGCATTTTGATGATATTTACTATGTGCTTCTCTGGCCAATGTATGCTTATCAATAGGACAAGAGTTATCAATGGGTAAAGTAACCAATTTGTCTGCACGTTCATTCCCTTCTCCTAAACCTTCAGACCATTTATGGCTCCTAATATGAATGACAGAATACACTGCATTTCTCTCTCGTAAAGCTTTCCTTAATTGTACCAATAACTCATACAATCGTTTATTCTTCAC